CGATAAAATTAACAGAACAGCATTCTGATTGTTTTTTATTACCAATTATTAAAATGATTAATAGAGATAATATATTTATTTATAGCACTTTTCAAATTACTGTGACCAGCAGGTTCTATGCATCACACCAGAAATCAGGAATCAAGAAAAAATGCCAATCTATAATTGGCTAAAAATTATTCTAATAATTTTTTAACCAATCATAGATTAGTATTTTTTCTAGTTTCCTGATTTTCAGTGTAATGTGTGAATTTGCTGATCACAGTAATTTGAAAAGCACTATAATAATATAAAATTCATTATCACCATCAATCATCTTAATAATCAGTAATAAAAAAATATTAGAATGCTATTTTTGTAGACTATTTCTTTCTTTATTTTTATTATTAATAAAAAAAAAAATAGTATTACTTAAATTTGATATACAGAGATATTCTGAACTTACTTTCAGGACAGGGATTTTTTATCATCTTCATTTGCATACTCAACAATTTGGAATTTACTAGTCACAAGAATTATATCTCTTTTTTCAAATGTGATAAGGTTAAACTCTTCAGATAAATCTTGTGAATAAAATCTTTTTAAAAAGACTTTTTGAGGCGAATCCAGACTTTGAGAATTTATAATCTCTGAAACATCAACAATCTGAAAATTTCTGGCAATATTATAGCAATATTTGGTAATATAACATAGAACTGTAATAATACCTGGCATTATACGTAATTGCAATTTTTTTTCGATTATTTAATTATTAATTAATTAAATAAAAATAAAAGAAAAAAAAAGAAAGGGCAAGAATAGCTCTACTATCATCGATTATTTTTGAATGATAACAAATGACTTCTTTTTTTTTGTCATTATTATTTATTTATCTGTTTATATATAATGTGGAAGGCAATTTATTTTAATATCTGATCAAATAAATACATGTGAAACTTGATGTATTATCAAATGATTCTCTAGAAACTTATCGTTATAGCTTTTTTTATTAATTAACAAATTTGATAAAGAATCCGGTTGGTAATTCAATCAACAGGCCAATTTGATTTTTTATTGAATTACTAAAGAAAGTTTTTTATTGCTAAACCATTAAAGAAGTTCTAGATTTCATGTCTGACATCTGATCTTTCCATTAATACTGTTAGTCATCATATTGCATCAAATAATAATTAGTTTCTTACTTTATTATCTTTATTTATTTATTGAGAGATATAAGAGTGTAATTAGCATATATTGTATTAAATCATTGTATCAATGCAATAAGCGTCATGATTCAAAATTTTAAATTAAACAGGCATAAAACCAGATATACATAAGCACAATAATGCTAATTCGAATTTAGTATGAGATAGTATATATTACAGAGATATTGTACGATATGCTTAATTAAATAAGAGAAAATCGATTCTGTAATGATTATTAATATAATTAAATAACTGGTAATTGACCAAATAAATGTTCATCAAAGAATTAGAACCGAATTTTATCCTTGTAATTACAAGATTATCGCTAAATACATAAGTGATCAATCGATTTTTATTTATTGCGATCATATTATATGACATAATCTTTTGTCTTAATCAAGTAACAATTAATAATTAATCAAGCTACATTATCTTATCTTTTTTTTATTGGTTATTATTATTATCGGTTACTGGTTATTACTAGTTATTATTACTGTAGGGAAAAAAAAATCAATATCAAATACTAG